CCCCTGAGGAGTCTTTCAAGAGAAAACTTGTCAGTGCATACCCATGTGTTGAGTTACCACCATGCATTTAACAATGATGAAATACCTTATTCTGGCATATGTTACCCATGCAATGCTTGTAATTAACTCAAGGAAAAAATGCACTAAACTTAAAAACATCAAACCCAGACTAACTCTTTCAGCTGTGAATGAACTGAGAGTTTTCCAGTTACAGGGATATCACGTGAAGTGGTATGGCATGGCTGTCACCAAAGAGGTTGATGACAAAGAGAGCTTGTTCAGTGACAATTAATATGTGTGATGGAGGTCACTGTGGCCAGGACACAGATTCAAAGTTACGTGTGCTACTGATGGGAAAACGTCCCCTGTTAGAGCAGGTGGCATTTGCTAACTTGGTTCACTTGGCAGCAGCTCAGCACTGCTGCACTCCACTTAAGACAAATGTTCTTCACCCAAAATAAAGTTTCCTTAATGTGTTCAGAGGAGACTGGTTGCCTCCTCACACAGTGTGAAACACTTACACTAATGCAGCCAGCTGCAATTCCAGTATCTCAGCACCACATGAAATCATACCATTAGCTCACTCCATATGCCACACTTCCACTAACTTCCATCACAATAGAATAGTTCTGCTTCCCTTCAGCTCAGGAGGAACTTTCTCAATGACTTCAAATGTCACAAGGGCTAAGCTGCCCTTCTGCAGGAAGATAACACAGCAAGAGTAAAAATAATTTAAGAGTAATCACTTGAACCCTCTGAGGCTGTAAGAAAATATTACACGCTCATCAGTACAGCTCTTTCTGTATGCCTGTGTAGAGAGAGGGACTCAAAATACAGTTATTACAGACATGAATAGAATAGAATATTACAGGAACATGAATAGAAAACTTGCATGGAAATTACTTTGGAAATAATTGAAACAAAAGCAGTACAGCTCATAAACATTGAAAAGTTCATTTTTAAATGAGCTATATGGCCCAAAGAGCATATTTTACTCAAGAAAGAAGGAGAAGTCAAAAAAATTTCACTGCACATTATATTTGCTAAAGGAAATGGCACAGAAGACATTCTTATTGTCTTCTCTACAGCTGAGCATTTGGGGAGGAGGGGTGATAAGCCAGTATTTACTGAGTTCCTATCATATGTGAGTACCTCAAGTATTCTGACTTATAAAGAACATACTTCAACCTCTACAGTAAAAAGTGCCAAATTTCATATCTGTTCACCATTTTTGGTGAATTGCCAACCTGATGCAGCCGTCCTTAGACACGTGATTTGTTTGCATGGATAATGCAAAGTCATATCCCCCATATCACAACAATTGTGCACACTTAAAATGTTACGCATGTTACCAACAGTATGGAAAACAGGAGAGAGCTTTAAGCCAGCTCTCACATCAGCGTACTAACCCGTGAGCCTGAGCTGCAACACGGGGGGCTCAGTGTCTGACAACATTGCCACACCGAAATCTCAGCCCTCTAGACATGACTTTATTGTCAGCAGTATCCAGAGCTGGAAATCTCCCATGAACACTTTCGTATTTCATCCTTAGGAAAAGACTTGTAAATCTTTACTTTTTAAAAGTTTCTCTAGCCCCAGGTAAATGACCTAATTTGTTTCTTAATAACAGGGAGGAAGTGTATGTTTAAACCCTGCCTGCTGATGATGCAGTTTGGTAGGGAAGGAGGTGTTTTCAGTAGAATGGTTATTTGTTCTAAAACAAAACAATAAGCAGTGGTGATCCTGAAGTGATGATGGACACAAGTCTCTCATGTCTGCATTCAGAGCAACAATGAAACCCTCAGGGGTCCAGGAAGAAGGAGAGATGTGCATCTTCATCTGTGCTTACCTGCTCACTGGATGACTTGTTTGGTACACAAGTTTAATCCACTGGGTCCACACAAGGCCTCCAGATTATGGGTAACTGCCCTCAAACCAGCTCATCTGCACTTGCAAATAAACCATGCCCACTTCTTCAGCTTCCCTGATTTCAGTAGCACAGATAAATATGAGCAATCGAAGAGTTACATGTGCACAGCACAGAGTGAACCGTTGCTTTAAGTATATGAGAAAATGAAACAACTCCTGAAGCTCCATTACAATTCAAATACTTTTGACAGAAAAATGCTTAGACCATCACAGATGACAAAAGGTTCTATCAGGGACTAGTTTGGGCAAGGCTTGGATTTTCTTAAAACAATGATCAATCAGTTCCCCAGCAAAGATAGGAACACTGAAGGTCTGTTTATTGCTTCCTTTGTCTGCTACAGTCTTGTAAAGACTTCAAACTGTAATCTTTGGCTTGCTATATCAGAGAAAATCCCACAAACAAACACTAAAATAATAGGCAATCGTGTGCTGCTCCCTTTTATGAGCACTGTGCCTCACCCACCTGGTTATTCACACATGCAGCAGTGAGAACTAGGACACCCATCTCACCTGCCTCTTACATTAACTTTTGTAATGGCAAATTGCAGTGCCCCTCACCTACAACAAATCCAGGCAGTTTTTCTTTTCAAGGCGGGTACCTTGAAAATGGAAGGGAAAATATGGGGTACTCTAAGCAAGCCCGAGATGTAAAGCAGAAAGGCAACAAAAATTTACTTTTGCTTTAGCTTTATGCTGATGTCATTCCAGAGACTGCACTGTTAGTTACTGGACATCTGCACCATCATGAGAGCAGAATCCATCTCCCAAGGACAGCTCGCAGTAAACTGGTTTTACTCCAGGAATCTGGTCTATAAAGCCCTTCCCTTGATATATTTACATGGCTATAAGCAAGTCAGAACATTTTTCCAAGGAGTGAATAGCAGCCAGCAAAAACACAGCCCTAGGCTCATGCTGAAGTGGGTAGGATTTAAAAATGTCTGCAGCAGTTAGTGGTTAGGCACACAAAAACACCCCACCCTTCAGCCCCAGGCGAGAGAGAATATGCCGACAGTGCAGAGTGTACTTCATGCGTCAGGATCCATCACTTGGCTTTGAACAAGATCAACAGATTTCAGGAGAACGAGAGAAGGGGATAATGCAGAGGTGCCCTAAGGTGCAATATGTTGACTAACATCCCAGTGACTGAGTGGCAACGTTAATGAGAAAAGGCCTAAACTATTGCACCAGCAAACTGTTAAATGGAAGTTTTGGGATACTCCTGGAACTCTGGAAGAGAAGAACCCATAAAGGTCAAACTGGAGTCTCTAAACCCAAAGCCAGTATCCTTTAACATTACTTTCCACTTTGGCTTCTCTACTACAGGGGATGCCCATAGGGGAGTTACAACATGTCCTCGTCCCATCAGTGCCGCTGTGTTAGCACTAGTGCTCTTCTGGAGTTACACAGATAATATCTTTCAACTGTGCAGACAAACCGGAGTACACTCGGAAAAAGAAAATTATCTGATCACTTAAAATGTCATCACAGAAATACCAAAGAAAATAAAACCAGGAAGCACATTTTCCTACTGGTTTCTTGGGAAAACAAGTTTCTCTGAAGGGAAGAAGCATGTTCAGCAAACAGAGCTCAATAATTTTATTGCCCAGTGCACAATTTCCTATACATTTTTTTCTTGTGTTTTACTTACCCCAAAACTATTCTGATCACAGAAGGAATAAAAGAAATAAAACCATGACATTAAAAGGGCTTAATAAAGACTGTACTGCAATTAATGTGCTACTGTTGCACATACTGATGAACTTAACTAAACAGCATGAGAAACACTCTACAGTGTGCCATAAACATCCCATATCAATAACACATGGATTATCTGTTTTCCTCAAGGGAAGCAGATGTGCAGTTTTTGAGAGGAAGGTTTTAGTCTGACTGGTTTGCCATCATTAAGTTGAGGAGAACATACTCTCCATCACTATTGGGTTTCTGTAATAAAAGTACTGGATAGTCACCTGATGACAGCCTAATTCCCAGCTCCATCAGGGGCCTCCAGAAGGGTCTTGAGCAAGTCATGTTTTTGTAGTACTTTGTGTTAATACCAAGTAAATTCATAAGTAAATGTGGTAAACACAGTTAAACATGAAACATCAACCTGAACAGTATCTTTTAGTTGTGTGATTTATGAGTGATTACCCATCAGCAAATACTGATGATAATATTTCCTTTTGTCTACTCTTTTTGTAGTGCACTAAACTCATAAATCCAACATATGGCACCATCTTTCCATATTCACAGTCCCAAACAACTGTAATCCCACTTGGGGTGGGGCACATGGGCGTTGCTCTAATTAAGAGCCATGATAATGCACAGGATGACTTTTTCATGTGCTATGTTCCTGTAAAATCTTACTGGAATCTTGCCTGGCAAGTGATCTAAAATCTCAAACTTTCTGTTGTTCTTGTGCAACTCATCTGTTAACATGTCTGTACAACAGAGCATGAGTAATTTAAAGCAGGGACCATACTTGAGACTGAAGGAAATACCCTGTGAACTTGGAGACATGCCATCTCAAAGCTCCAGAGTATCTGAGATCCGACACAGTTGATAAATCTGCAGCAGAAGTTCTATTAGCACTTTTACTGTTGCACTCAGGAGTCCATTTTTAACTCATCAAAAAATTAAAATATTAATGACATTAAATTAGCTGCAGGTCTTAAAAAAATAAATGAGCTGTTGGTTTAAAAAATGCCTCCAAAATGCCTCAACACTTGAGGTATCATGCCAGGTTTTTTTGCTAAATGGTTACAAAAGATTGTACAACTTAGTCACGTAATCTAAGTTCCCACATTTGCTACTGAAAATATTCTTTCTAAATCAATTTCACTGACAAATAAAATCTTATACAAGGAGTGACCTAAGAGCCTCAAGTTCTCAGATTTCCCAAAACAACTTGGTCTAGATGGGCTTTGAATGTTTTGATACGTTTTACTGCAGGAGAGTAAAAGGTTGCTATCATCCCTATCAAATCCTACTTGAAGTGAGTGAATCTATGTATACTTGTGGTCAAAAGCACAGCAACTGCTAATGTGTTACACCTACATTTAGTGCTTACTCACCACACAGTTCAAGATTGTCTCTGATCTCAATACAGATGAGAGTTACACAAGGTGAAGAGAAAATTGAGCATCCTCATCTGTAGCTGTGAGGAGGAACCAGGCAGGAAATTAATGCATGTCTGATACACAAGCCAAGGGCATGATCCAGTGAGGGCATGTGGGTGCCTGTACCCCACGTGCAGCTCCCAGCACAGCTGCGTGAGGTGTCCATGGGCAGCTTGGGCCAGTCTGGCTGTGGGCAGTGCTGGAGGAACCACTGGTACCTCATCCCTGCGGGCTGAGAGCTGTCCCTGTTACGGCTTCCACAGCTCCTTTTGTCAGTCCTGACAGTTATATTGGAAAAACATTGTGTACAAACCAGTTTAAAGAAACATAAATCCACATGGGGAAGCCAGGTGTGCAGCATGGAAGGGATGTTTGCTGATAAAGACAGGAAAATCATGTTTGATTCAGCAGTGCCTTCGAGCAGGATGCAGCCACAGCTGGGGCTGCTCCTTGTCACTGTCCCAATCTCCTTGCCTGTTTCTCCAGTCAAGTTTCTTCATTTTCACTTGTCCTTCCTCACAACCAAGACAGCACTGCTCAGGTCCTGCTCCTCAGGTACAGATTTTCCCCTTCTGTGAGGAGATAGTGCCTGTGATAAAGGCAATGGCAGCTTGAGGTGGAGAGTTGTGGTTCCCTTGGTTGTGCCAAAGGCTGGGCCTACCATGCCATCCATGGTGGGGCGTGTTCCATGCTGAGGCAGGAGCCCCTCTCCCTGGCCCAGGGACACTCCAGGAACGCTGTCTTAGAGTCTTAAACTGTACCAGGGCAGGTTTCAGTTGGACATCAGGAGGAATTTCTTCACAGAAAGAACGATTAGACATTGGAGTGGGCTGCCGAGGGAGGTGCTGGAGTCACCATCCCTCGAGGTGTTTAAGGAAAGACTGGCCATGGCACTTAGTGCCATGGTCTGATTTACACGGTGGTGTCGGGTCATAGGTTGCACTCGATGATCTCAGAGGTCTTTTCCGATCCAACTCATTCTGTAATTCTGTGAGATGGTACCTGGCCGAGACACCAGCCACGGGGTGGGAGGCCTGAGGGACACAGCACCGCCTTACACGCCCAGATGCAACAGTGTACGCGGTCCCCAGGGATGCCACACGCCGGGGGCGGCGCCAACCCCACGTCTGCTGCCCGCCCTCAGGATCGGGATCGGGATCGACACCGCGAGCAGCCCCCGCGCGCCCCCTGCCCCGCAGCCCACAGCGCCTCCCACCGCGCGCAGGCGCAGACAGCCCGCGCCGCCCGGCGCGCAGCGGGCGCAGGCGCGGTACCGCCCCTGGCCGGGCGGCGGGAGGTTGGAGCGAGCGCGGGCAGCGGGAGCTGCTCCCACCGGGCTGGGCCGGGCCCGCCGGGCTTCTCCTCGCTTCTCCTCGCTTCACCCGCGCCCCGGGGCCGCGTGGTCCCCGAGGGGCCTCCCCTCGCTCTGCAGCCGCTGCGGGTCTGTGCAGTGGCACCGTTTCTGGGGTGCCTCAGGGCCCCCCGGGGTGCATCCTCTCACAACGGGCTCCTCGGGCCTGTGTCTTTGTCTCTGGGTTGCCCAGCCTTCGTCCCGCTTCTCTGGGGGTGGAAAGCTGGCTGGGGAAAAGTTTTATTGAGTGTTAGTGGAGCCTTCAGTTGAGAAAGTGAAAGGAGTGCGTGTTGTTGTGTAATGTACTTAAGCAGGAAAACTGAGGACGTAGCTTCATAGACTTGCCCACAGTGAAAAATCAAGTAAGTAGTGAAGTGGAAAATTGTCTCTTCCCCTTTTAACCCAAGTTTTCTTTACTTGATGGACAGAATTATTTTTTCTGTGTGCTGAAAAGCATCACTGCTTGAAAATGCCAAGGGTTCTTAGGCTATGATGCTGGGAAGGATTTTAAGAGTGCAGGAGATCTGTGTGAAAGTGCTGTCAAGGAAGAGCATTAGCGAAGTATTTGTTGTACTTATGGTCACTGGAAGATGAATCTGCATTAGAAAGTAAGGGCAGAGAGGCATAGGTTTTGAGGGGTTTTTTAAAGCTGTCTATTTAAGATAGCTCTTAGGTTTGAAATTATTTTGCTATTTACTGAATTACGTGTTTGTGATATATTGTGTACATAGGCATGATGTAGCTTTTTTTACGCTCTTGCTTACATTAAGAAATAATATTGATAAACTTCCATTATATTTAATGGATGATGTGAGCTTTTTGTTTAATTGATGGATTGCTAAAATACCCAATTAACTGGACTCTTTCTTGAGGTCTGGGGCTTTTTAATGGAGTTCCGTATGTTCGGTTTTGAACAGCTGGGGGGGAACCTTGACTTGTAAGATAAATGAGGACCTGCATCCTTTGGTAGAGAGCCAGGAAGACCAGGGTTGCTGGGTTATTAAGGCGTTGGCATACTGAAGCTTTGGCATTTTTCACCTCTGAAGAGGAAGCCCCCCTCGTGCCGGTCTCGTGTTGCCCAGTCGCTTGTTTGCAGGATTTTATTCCTGAGAGGCTTCTGTTCCAAAACTCCTAATTGCAATTTGCAGGTGACCAGAGGTGTAGCTGTAGATTTTCCAGCTGCATTCTGGCCATTAGCAGGTGCTTCACAAGTGCTAAACTAAGTTAAACATTGCCAAATCGACTTGCAGTTGGTTCGTGCTGGGAGGGGTGACTTACCAATTTAATTAAAGCGCCTTTCTGAGCGAAAGGGGGATGTTTCCTGCTAGTCAAAAGTTCTACTTGGGTGAGTAATTACCTTTTTAAGCAGCATTCCCCAGACGGATCAAATGATAAAGTGGATTATTTTCACAGACCTGGATACCCAATTATTTTGTTCTACAGAAAAGATTAATTGTTTATACATGTGGACAGAAAAATCGTCCTGGCTCCCACCAATCCTTTTATCGCTATTTGGGATGCAGTTAAATGAAAGGACTGTTTCTTAACAACTGACTTAGGAAGAACTATTCCTTTGAGTTAGACAAGCAGTAAGGGTCATTCAGGTTAAGAAAATACACTTTGTTTGGAGTGACCTTTTTTTGATGAGTTCAACGCTTCAGGGTCTGACCTTGGATTTATAGGCAGACACTTAAAAGAAGATGTCAAATAGGAAAAAAAATTACAATGGATAATACCTGTAAGGCTTTTTATAAATAGTTTTCATCTTTTAAAGGAAAAAGTCCGTAGAGCTTTAGGAGTGAGGGAAAAATAATATATAAAATCCATGGTAAGATACTTTGTGGCAGTTAGTAGTGTCTTGCATCCTCTTGAAGAAAAGCCGTTTGCAAAGGAAGATGCTCCTTAGCACATGAAACAGTTGTGAAACTGATGCAGACACCTTTTTGGAACATGCTAATTAGAAAATAAGCCTCAGAATTTCCTGTTGGAGCTTTTTACTCATTTCTCCAGCCACATGGCTCATTATAATCAGGTGAAAATGACACCATAATTCATTCTGTTGTTTAACAGAGACTGCTATCCATCTCGAGATGGAAGAACCAGTGCTAGATAAATTGCCATCTCTGTGTGATACTCCAAAGGATTCTGGAGCAGCACCTCCACGGGGGACTAGTTCAGGGAAACAGGTATGGAAACTTTGTTTTGCCAGTAATGTGATTCTTCATAGTTAAAGAATGCTTGTGAAATAATCAAGGAGTGAGAGGTCACTGAGATAGTGCTGGAAGGCTAAAGACAGGTACCTTATAACCATAGCTACAAGGTTGTCCAGGTAAGGAATGTGCTCGGTACACTTTGCTCTGAATATGCAGATGTTTGCTGTGAATACAAAGTGATGGAGCAACACCAAATGCCATACTAATACACTTAAATACTGTTTTGGGTTTCTGGTGGGTTTTTTTGTTTGTTTTAACCTGTCATCTTCAGCTTTCTCAGATCCTAGTTTTCTGTGTTGCTGTGCATGCAGGATGACTTTCTGTAACTTCTGCCTGCACTGGAACAAAGTAGACTGCTTTCAGTTTGTATGTTCTCCACAGTGCCAAGCTCTGCTTTGGTCTTGATCCTGGCATTTGTTATGGTGATGCTGTCATGCTCAGCATCCAGCTCTGTGCAGGACAGGCCTAGTTTGCAAGTATTCCTTAACTAATCCCACGCTCCTGTATTTCAGTGTATTTCTGGACGTAAAAATGTTAGACACGTTATAAAAAATAATTGTTAACTTATTTCAAAGGAAAAAAAAAATTTAAATGCTTATCAGTGAAGTATCTCAAAGCATGAACAAGTAAAAATTATACAGATATTTGTAATATGCTCAAGTAGAATACAGATGTTTTACACTACTGCTAATGCAGATGTATATGTGTAATAAGATGGAACAGCAGAAAAAAAACATTAAACTAGAAGGGGAAATTGAACTTGATAGAATAGATTCAGCCAAGTTGAAATATGCCATATTTCTTCTACACAAAGACTAGATAAGTAGGTTTGGCTCAATAGAATACAGGATTTGGTCCTAGAAAATGTGGAGCTACATCTTTCCTTATCTTGCAGTTGTGTGTGCAGATAAATGTGGAAAGAAGAAGTTGGCTTCGTTCCAGTTCGTCAAGGCTACAGAGAGAATCACGAAGTCTGGCTTTACAATGATTGTTAAATATATTACATATTCTATATAAATACTAACCAGGTAAACAATTATTTGAGATTTGATCAAAATTTAAGATTATGCTGACCACCTGTTTTTGTTTGTTTGTTTTTTAGCAAATGAGTGCAGCTCTGAGGGAGCGATTACGGAAAACAAGACGTTCCTTTAATGCCAATTTTACAGCGGCAAAGCGGCTCAAAATAGACACTGAAGAAAAAGACTGTGCTGATGCTGACACAGGGTGCCTGCCAATGACAAGTAAAGATTGTTCCAGATTACAAGATGGTCCTGAAGACCTTGAAAGAAACAGCACTGCACATACATGTTTCAGAAGTCCCTCACGAGAGAGTGATCCCAGTGGATCAGCAGAGACTTCAGATGTGCTACCAGTTGATCTTGGTCAGCAACTGTCCCTGGAAGAAAAAGTAAGGCTGGTGAAACAAGTGCAAGAGAAGGAAGAATTACTTCGTAGGCTCAAACTGGTGAAGATGTATCGATCCAAGGTGAGGCAATACTGACTCACTGGTCTTTTGGGGTGTGTGGTGTTTGCGTATTGTCTCAGTTTAAGGCATTTTATAAAAATATCTGCATGGTATCAAAACCCCCCACATGTCAGCAACTGACAGTTTTTTTGTTTTCTTTTGTCCCAACTGCAGAACAACCTGTGTGAACTGCAGGCTTTGATAGTGAAATGGAGAAGCAGCACCCAGCTGATGCTGTATGAACTACAGTCGGCCTTTTCTGCAGATGGCAAGAAAGTGAGTCTCACTCAGCTGATCGATACTTTTGGATTAGAAGACCAGTTATTGCACTACAGCAGAACAGAAGAAGATTTTATAGATGCATAATCTACAATTGCAAAGCTTTTATTAGACACAAAAGCAGAAAAGACCAAGTGAATTCTGATCATGTCAGAAGTGTTGATCAGGCAGTGGACTTGATGCTTTGGGGTTAGGAGGTTTTCTCCAGAGAAACTGGTAAAGCTTTGTACTTAGATACAGTAGGCACTGTAAAAGGCATTACTTACTGGAAAAGATCAAACTTTTAGTGTTTTGGAGAACCTGGCTTAATGACTTGGTCAGTTAATTTTTATTTAATAAAAATAAAATGAGATCGTACTTTAACAGGTAGAAAGCAGTCCAGTCTTTGGTTAGTCTTTGTATGGTTACTTCTGTTGAAAACACTCAAATTGTCATTTCTGTTTGTGTTCAGATGGGGAAGAGTTCAGTTTTTTATTCATAAATACATCCCCATTTTACAAATGTCTTCCTGCTACCAGTCAGCTAATGAAGGCCAATGACAGGATTTTGTGAGTTAAGTAAAGATAACTAGTTTTCATGATGTTAATATTCTGAGGCTGTGATAAGATGTTCTCACTGGCTTTAATTGTTACAGAGGGATATGTGCCACAATGCAATTGCTTTTGGGTACTAGTCCAAACAGTCATCTTCAGGGCCACTGTCTCATAATCAATCTGCCCCAGCCTGAGGTAATAGAAGGGAAGGCAAGAAAATTGCAACCAACTTTCTACTGTACTACTACGCCTGAGAGCCAAGGTGTTTTCTCTCTTCAAATAAATAAGAAAAATAAGGCCTTGTCTAATGGGATTGCTTCAAACACAGCATCATAAAGCTGAATAAAACTTTACCATTTAATTTATTCTCCAATAAATGTATTTTTCAAAAGCCTTTTTATCTTAAGTTGAAATTGCTTATTTTCTCATCATGGCCTGAGCACAGAGCATGGTGACTTCTGCCTGCTTTTATATTCCTTAAAATCACTGCTTGTCAAGTGTAACAATACATAAATCTTAACTACTCTACAACTCTCCCTGCTATGAATCTTGTTTTCTATGTGATCACATTCTTTATTGATTATACCTTAACTGTTTTGTTTACAAGTGGCATATCCTGTTTCCTTAATAAGGAAATAATTCCTTAGACATCTGAAGGGAAATAAAATCAAAGATCATACAGACCCTTTTAACATTGATATGGCTCATTAGACTTAAATCTGTACCTAGAACTTGCTCTTAAGAATACTGACTGTTGCTGTCCACAGAGAGTTAATGCAGAACAACCTTTATTGCCAATCACATTTTGAGTATTGAAGCACTATTTCTTCTGCTTCTTTAGGTTTGTGAAGAAAGATGATGGTGCCTGGTGCAGGGGCCAGTTATCTTCCCTGAGATCCTTGGCAGATTCAGAACTCTGCTGCTTCTAGGGAAGTTTCAGCAGGAAGAAAAAGTCTTGCAAGAAGCAAGATGTAATTAGCATCCTTACAGATCCCAGTTAGAGATGGTAAAACAAAAAAGGAGGTGCTGTACAGGATCACAACAGAAGTAGTTTTTTCTTACAAGTGTAGAATTTTATTAAGATATCAAAACTGTTGCTGCTCTCAAAATGGAATGAGCTTAGATATGTGAATTTATGAAAGGAGAAGAATTATTTCACACCATGGGAAACAGGGAAATAAAAGGCAGTGAGAATGAGTAAGTAGATCAGGCTCTAACAGTAGTTAATTTTATCACAGGTTCTTTATTTTTCTTAGGTGTCTTTGAGGGATCTGGCAGGAGAATAGACTGCATCAGTGCAAAGGGGTGGGAGATGCCAGAAACTATTTCAGGAGGCCAGATGCTTCCAAACCTGGTTTTCCTGTGATTCTGCCAGTGGCAGCAGCCACAGCTACTGCTGGCTGTGGGTAATTATGCTGTGAAGGCACAGCAGCTTTTGGGACTGGGCCAAGTAGCACACATGGTCCTGATGAAGCGCATCTACATCTTCTCAGCAACCTACACCTGTGCCATCACAGGTGTAAATATATTAAGCCAAAGCCACAGACATGAATTTTAGCAGATGCAAATTCAGAGATTGCTTGCAGTACTTTAAAATGTTCTACAATTGCATATTGCAGACAGTGGACATACAAATACACCTGTTCTTCTCAATCTACAATTTCTTGTACCCTTTGTTTTCTATAATGAGCTATATGGTTTATATAATAAAACCAGCAGAAATAAATCTCATCAACTGAAGTATAATGGGGATAAGACCAGGTGTAAAATACGCAAACCAGACAAACATGCATCTTTCAAAGTGCAGTTATTTTTAAGGACATTACAGAAGAAATCTTTTGTGGAAAGAAAAGTTCAGGGAGAGAAATTAGCTGTCAAAGCTCTTTTACTTAGACAAGACAGTGGTATTATAGATCTGCCTGGACTCTGTTTTTTATATATGAGGGGGTGTTCTTGTTCTCAGTATTTCAAGTTCTGATTGAAGACTTGCAAACTCTTCTTTCTGTTCCTTTATAAGATCCCGTAGGTTTTTCTGCTTCAAAATTTCTTGGTAACGCTGCTTTGTAATCTTTTCAGAAATATCCCGTGTGTCTGCATAAAACAAAATATAAGGATTAGCCTGTGCTCATAGGGGATGTGTAGTCTATATTTATATTGTTCCTGTCCTGATGTTATTCCAAATTCTGTATAAAATAGGCAAGCATTTTAAAGAAGGCTCCCAGTTGAGCTTAAAAGCCTTTATAGTACTGAATAAAGGAAAATATTTCAAAAAGGCACTGAGCATGCTTGCTTTAGTTTCTAGCAAGTACCCACTGTTTTGAAAATCTGTAACTTTTCCTCTAGTGGAAGGATCTCTACAGTTTTTCTAATAGCGAATACCATTCTCAGCTCCACACTACTTCCTCTGTTCCCTTGGAAGGGTAGAAAGAAGTGTGTCGAACAGCTCTGTGAAAGAATGAAAGCATGTTGTATAATGAAGTTACTAATGACTATAATATTTTTACTTGAATAGTTTCAGGAATTTAGTCAACTAGCTTTGGTTACAAGAGGCACGATCTCCAGGTACGCTCTTCAGTGAGCAGTGTTAGGTTTTGGTAGGAAGGACTCTGCTAATTGCACTCATACAGGAATACACAGGCACTCCTTGTCCTTTAGCTGATGGTGGGGAACAGGACTGCATAGCCTTGGAGTTATTTTCTGAATGTTTTTCTTTGCTTGTGACTTTAAGTGCTTTACTGGACTCACCAGCTGCCTCAAAGATATGCCTCCTTTCTGAAACAGAGACAAGCATTTCCTTCAGCTGCAGGCTCAGCTCGTAGTTCGCTTCCTCTTTTAAACGGATGCTCTTCTTCAGCTCTCTAATTTTTTTCTGATGGTTCTTCACATTCTTCTCGTGCAACTGTCCATTTTGAAATCAATAAAGCAAATATATGAGGTGATAAAAAAGCTGTTCAGACAAACGTGATGGAAACTTACAATTTTAAGCACTGCATTGTAGCTCAATAAATTTTCATGTATTTTGATTTGACTGGTAGCACATTCTAAGCTTGACTTTGTATAGCGTCTTTCACATGCTGTATCTCAGTATGTTTATGGAGATCTAATATAAGGACCAGCCAAGGAACCAAGAGGTATGGGTCAGGGAGAGAGATATTAAAGATAAAACTTGAAAGGAAAAGAGAGGAAAGGAAGTCAATGGAATCAGTGAGTTAAGGACACGCTCTTGGCTGCTGGGAGCTGCTGAAGAAAGGGTTGTGCTGAAGCTGATGGATGGGCTGTAAAGGGACAAGATAAAGACTAAAGCTTGAAGAGGAAGAGGAGGCTGCTGTCAGCTAGTGCAACTTGGAGAAAATTTAGTGGAAACTCTTAAAAACAAGGATAATCATAATTTGAGGGATGAAACAGATGAGGGAGCCAGCAAATCAGATTGTTGTGTGTGTTATTTTGAATACAGGGGGGTAGGGATATTATGAATAGGCTGGTGCTCCTGGAGAGAAACATTTAGCAGTAAGGACTGAAAGAATGCTTCATTAGAAATGGAAGAGTGACTTTTATAAGCAGTGCTGTGTAAGAAATGATTAGCAGATCTGCATTCAGATGTTCAGGACAGGAAAGCATTTAACTCCAGTAGCAGAGCAAGTAGATGTCTCTCCATAGGGTTGATCTCTGCAGCAATTCAGGTATGATGACTGCTTCCAAAGACTTTAGAGAACTGCTGCTGTAGCCAGCACAGCTCAAGTTGAAGAAACTATTGAAAGCCAGATGGACAAACACATGACTATATATATATTCATCTGTGTCTGCTGTTGTGGCTGTACTCCAACAGTCCTTGAGTTAGCACGCCTATATCAATTGCACTTCATTCTTATTCCTTACAAACACCTCTTGCTAATGAAGGCAAGGAGTTGCATTTAAACTAAGGATGTGTCTCTCAAATGTGGTGGTTCCCTTAAGATTTACCTTATCCATGAAACGAAGAGTCTCCTCCATCCCTGCAATGTGCTGGGCGATGTGGCTGCCATAGTTCTGCACAGTTAGGAACTGAAGAAATAAAACCAGAAAGAAATGATCTTATTATGCCAGTTCATTCTTAACAATTCCACACTTCTATAAAGGCAGTCATACTATGTGAAATGCAAAAAACCTAGAATTCTGCAGTGGAAAAGCTTACTAGTGATCATAAATGGACATCATAAAGATATTCTTGGACACTCTGTGAATACTAGACTGTGCAGCTGTTAAAAAGAATGTTATCTGTCCTGTGTTAATGGAAACAAAGACCAAACAAATTTGTTGAGATTGTCAAAAACCCCAAGCTATACTTTTGCTTATAATGCAATCTAAGCTTACACAGCTGGAGGCCAAAGTGCTATACAGTGTGTCTTTAGGCTAGAGAGGAAAAGAATTATTTTCTGTCTCTCAGCTTCCTAGTAATTCTTACTTCTTTTATTGTTCTATCTGCATAGTAATTGATATTTCAGAGAATTTATTGGTTTTTTTTCCTTGAGCACGCTGCTACTAAAATACCTCTTTATCAAATGACAAATGGTAAACCCCATAATGTTTTATGGACCTGTAATGGGCAGTAGACAGGTTTCTGTATTTGTAGATTCATCCTTCCTGAGTATTGTCCCACCAAAGTTGACAGGTAGAATTTTGTGGACTATTCTTGTTAGGGGAGGGGAAGCAGGAAAGACCCAGCGGGCTCCTTTGCCTATAGTATTAAACTTCTTTCACTCACTCCTTCATTAACAGCCCTCACTCCAGATGTTCTCAGGTCCTTGCCCACACACATTTATCTTAGCCATCTTTCTTTCTGTTCCTATTGTT